GTTGGCAACGTTTTTCGAAAATTCTCATCAGCCTTTATCTCCTGTGCAATTCCACCAACATTGAGTTGATCCATTCTCGTTATGAGGACTATCAGATTATCTCCATTAATCTCTTCTATCAGGTCCATATGCCTTGGCCACGAGGCATTTTCGAACACAAGTGCTGAAATGCACAACACCACTACACTATCATTTTGTGATCTCTGACGATTCAGTACTGTATCTAACGTACGACGCGTAATATTGTCTGTGACTCTCTGCGTTTCAGCATTGGTCGGCGTTAACCCTGGATTGTCACAACAGTCAATTGCAAAAGACGGAATGTTTGAGTGAATGACAATTTTGGCATCCTTTCTATCATCCATGCGATCCTTGTTGAGTTTCGTGAATTCTCTGGTTAGCTCCTGCAAAGTACCATCCCGAACACGCACTTCGACATCCTCTGCCGTATCATGTTCTACCAGTAGTTCATACTTTGCGTCTTGCAATTTAGGATCATATCGATGTTCAATCCAAGTTCTAATTTTAGTGACTGTGTTGTTGCCCATCTGAAGAGCAACTTGTCGAATGATGCTGTTCACCGTGGTAGACTTCGATGAGCTTTGATCCCCGATGATGAAGATTCCGCGAGCGGAACCATCAGGGCCTCTTGAACTCGGATTCGCTTTTAATAGCATTTGTCCAAGATCGAAAGCATGGCGACGGGATTCTCCTTCGCCACGACTCCATTCGTCCATGCAATCACAGAATTCATCCATAGGGTTGCTCTGCATGTTTGAATTTATGCGTTCATGTTTACGATAGACAAGTTGGTCCTTATATACAAGTGAGGGTTAAAGTTCACCGAATGATCGTTTCTTTCGAAATTTCTAATTCCCTACTATTATGGCAGAAATAATGCGGCTATGACTACAAGACGCGGACTTACGTGATTCTGTCTATACAACCCAAAAAAAGAAATAATCAAATTTGGATAAATAAAATATTTCAAAACAAAAATTTCATGCATGCAATAGCGCCAATCTTTTCTTTTGGTTTCCTAAAGTAGAATTAAGGTTTATGTACATATGATGAACATGATCTATTCAAAAGCAGTTTAGTAGTTTATAATAAAATTATTACTATTAAGGTACAAATACAGTATATGTTATATTTTATGCGCATTTAAAAGTTTCTTAGGAAACTGATCGATCTGCACCATACAATTAAAGTCCCCTGAACAAGCAAAAGAATAGAACAATTGAGCCTCACGAGGGCGCATTCGGTGAGATTAGAAAACGAGAATGACAAAACGATGAAACAAAAAAAAAATACGAAATTCATCGTTTCTGAATTTAATAAAGATTGAGTCACCTGAACAAGCAAAATGATGGAAACAATTGAGTCTCAAGAAGGCGCATGTAGTGATGACAAAACAATGAAGCAAAAAAATATGCAAATTCATTGTTTCTTTGGAATCCGTGTCACAAAAAGATTAAGAAAAACAATAGCTGCTGATCTGCGCTATATAGATCTGAGCGTTTGCAGAGAAGCTTAAAGCAACATAATAAAATTTTATGGTTAGAAAATAACAAGAACATTGCCACAAGCATCATACCGAAATAATTATTGTTTATATCCTAGGCCATTCCATTTCTTCTATTGTGCATTTTCTTTATCTTTTCCTTTGATCGCTAGTTACGCAAGCCTAAATTACAGCATTTATTTAATTATAAACATAATGAGTTACTGTAATTAAAACATTTAGGAATATTCAATTAATTTATTTGAAAATATTAACAATAATTTAAAAATAATTAAAAATCAAATGTAGCTATTCAGCGTATAAAAAAAAAAATACTGTAAATCTATGATATTGTATTTTAAATATTATGATTTAATCGTATTTTAAATAATTTAAACTATTTCTGCTTTCTTATTTTGAAAAAGTTAATAATAAAATTAAATTAAAAATTGAATTAAGCAACTAATATAAAATTTAAAATTTAATAATAACAGATATATAAATTTTTAATAAAATAAAACTTAATCTTGTAAATATATAGATAAAAACAAGATTATAAAAAATTAAATAGAAGAGAAAACTTTTTATATATAATATGAGAAACATTGAAGTAAAAAGGAGATTGATCTTAATATAATATGATTTTATTATACAATTTTAGTTTTTTTTTTCTAATTTTTTCTTTATTCTATTTAATATGAAATTTTCAAAAGATACTCTTCTAAATATTAACAAATAAAATATATAATTGAAATTCTAGAACATGAAAGAAAAATAACTCAAGTAGTATTATTAGGTTATATAAGTACAAAAAAAAAAAGAAATTTATTAATTAATAATCTATTATTTTTTATTATTGTAATAAATTTATTTTATAAAGAATAGCTTTAATATATTTAACTTATACTAGTCGAAATTATGTCATTTGGCTACTGAATTATTGCTGAATTTGGCAAAAATTAATAATAAAAAGACTGATGAATTATTTACAATTGCTGTCACT